GTAATTTCTCTCCACTAATATCTTATTGAAGACCTTTGTCTACAACTGGTCCCATATTAAAACTTTCTTGCCTTCCAAAAATAAGGAACTGAATAGTGTTTAATGTGGAGAAGCAATGAGCACATCTTATCTAAGGAGATAAAGAGCCATTATCTATGCACCGTTGATGCTGTTTGTGATAAACTTGATTTGTACAACTTATAAATAATAAGACATCGGTACAAAAATAACAATTGCTGCATAGTACTGTACTGTATTTAAATACAGCTACACTGTTTTTGAGTACAGCTATACTGTTTTAAGTATGTCCTCACCTAGTTGTGCTTGCAGGAGTTGAGTTCTGGCTCTTTGGTCCTGCCTCTCAACTGTCAATCAACTGGTGTACATATTCCTGAGCCTACTGGGCTCTATCATATCTACATTTGAAACTGTGTGTGGAATCTGCCTCCACCACATCACTGCCTAATGCGTTCCATCCATTAACTACTCTAACACTGAAAAAGTTCTTTCTAATGTCCCTGTGGCTCATTTGGGGACTCAGTTTCCACTTGCGTCCCCTTGTTCACATGCCTCCCATGTTAAACAATTTATTTTTAGCTACCCTGTTGGTTCCTCTTAGAATTTTGTAGGTAGTGATCACATCTCCCCGAGCTCTCTTGTCTTCCAGCAATGTGAGGTGCATTTCTCACAGCCTTTCCTTGTAACTCATGCCCCTTAGTTCTGGGACTAGTCTAGTGGCATACCTCTGAACTTTTCCAGCTCAGTCCTGTGCTTGACAAGGTACGGGCTCCATGCTGCATACTCCATGTGTACTCCATATGTCTTACATATGTGGTATATGAGGTTCTGAATGATTCTTTACACATGTTCCTGAAGGCAGTTCTGATGTTAGCCAGCCTCACATAAGCTGCAGATATTATTTTTATGTAGGCTTCAGGAGACAAGTTTGGTGTGATATCAACCCCTAGATTTTTCTGTCTGTTTCATGAAGGACTTCAGCTCCCATTCGGTATCCTGTGTCGGGCCTCCTGTTTCCACCGCTTAGTTTCATTATCTTACATTTACTCGAGTTGAACTTTAGTAGCCATTTATTGGACCATTTATTTAGTTTGTCTAGGTCATCTTGTAGCCTCATACTATCTTCCTCTGTCTTAATCCTCCTCATAATTTTTGCATTATCAGCAAACAACGAGAGGAACAAGTCTATATGGCTACCATGTGGTGGTTCCAAGGATCAAAGTCCCTGCTGTACGGTCTCTGACCAGGCTGTTGGACATAGCTGCTCGCAGCCTGACAAATGACTCACAGTTTGGTTGATCAGGCATCCTTTGGAGGTGTTTATAGAGTTCTCCGTTGAACACCACAAGTGGCCGGCCAGTTATGCCCCTTATGTATATAGGGAGAGTATTGAAAAGTCTTGAGCCTTTGATGTTGATCAAGTTCTCTCTCAGAGTACCTAATGCACCTATGCATTTCATTGGGAATGTTTTGCGCATCCTGCCAAGCACATTGGCTTCATGTGATGTTATTTCCGTGTTCAGATTCGGAACTAATCCCTTTTAATATTTTCCATGTGTAAATTATTATGCATATCTCTTGTCTGCACTCCAGAGAATATACATTTTGAACTTTTAACCAGTCGTAATACTTTAGAAGATTTATAGAGCAGCTTCTAGCAGTAAAGGATCTTTGCATGCTCTCCAGGTCAGCAATTTCTCCGGCTTTGAATGGGGCTGTTAGTGTGCAACAATATGGGTGACCTGTGGGTTTATGGGTAACCTGTGGTTCAGTTGTCAGTGCTGTCCACTCACAACTGGCATGTCCTAGGTTCGAATCCTGGGCAGAGCAAGACAGCTGGGCCATTACACTGTTCATCTAGCAGTAATTAGGAACTTGGTTGTTAGTTGACCATTGTGGGCCCCTTTCTGAGGAATGGTCAAATACCGTTCCTATTCGAGAAAACGTCAATTATCACACAAAAAAACTATATTCCACCCTAGAGAGAAAAAGTGTTTTGACAAGTATCAATGGTATGGCATCCCTTGTTGCCATAGGTTATCATTACCCAACCTGTTGTTTTTCTTGAAATTATGACAGTTACCTTATAGCGTTCTTTAACCACTGCACTGCGCAACGAGCCTCAAGGCTCTCGACAGATGGTGCAATGTGCCTCGGGGATCTTATAGAATAGAGTATCATTCAAAACTCCCTCAGCTACACGGGGTTCAGATCAGCTTCCTCAGGGCTCTCCGAAACAGACACCATTTTTTTTTAAATAGTGGGTAACATTCTCGGGTGTGAAGGTCTCAGTACCAGTACTGAGTGAGCAACCAAGGCTGGTGCACGCAGCATAAGCTAGCAGCATTGCTGTTCAGCTTTTGACCACAGCATTGCCCAAAATTTTCCAAATACAGTATATATATACATATATTTGGTACTAGCAAAAGGCTTATGTTGGGAGGAGCCATTTAAGTGAGGGAGTGAGTGAGGCTGTCGTCTGCTGTGTGACTTGTCATACAGTGACAACTATGCTGTTTGGACACCATACCAGCTTCGTTGAACAGTTAGGGTGAATAAAACATGTAAATAGTTACATATAATGTGTGTATGTAATGTAATAACACCATAAACAGTATTGTGGGAGGAGTAATGTTGGCGAGTTAAGTGTTGCAGGAGAAAGAGGGCTGGCTGGGTGTGTGTGGCAGCCCACTCTTAGTTTTTGGGCTCACCATACCAACTTAGTGGTTCGTTATGGTGAACACATACATAGATAGGTATATACAATGTTTGTGTATATAGTGTAATAACAGCTGTTTAATAGATCGTAGAATATACAGTAATACATATGTCACATATATGAGCCCCGTAATTTTGAGCATAGCGATCCACACATTTAACTATATAGATTCCAAAAATTACACAATTTTGAATAATATTACAGCATAAAATCAGAGAAGAAACGAATGAGAAACATCAAAATAATTGTGAAACATTATGTTAGCGGCAACTGCCACCCCATAGGGTGGCGGGGCCTAGTGACCTTGAGCGCTCCATCGCTCAGCGCCCATAATATGCTTAACTTCCCAGCTTGATTGCATCTAAAGTATGTCACATACCATATTTTTTTTAGTTTCCAGTGATCAGAAACTGCATTTTAACAATATAAGAAGATAAAATAATTTTTTGGAAAGAATTTATTTTATGGGTGTGTGTGAATTTATTTATTTTAATGCAGAGCAGTGCAGTGGTTAACCCTTAGATGGCGCAATACATACATATATACATGTAGGGAGTAACTGTCGCGGAATAGCGCACATCACACATATACAATTGTGGGTCTCGCACACGATTTTAAATGCCCCACGAGGGATAGGGCCAGCTATTGTCCAGCCATGGCCGATAGTAAACAGACGCCATCTTTGAAAAAATCCAGCGTAGGCCACCATTGTGTGGAGGCCTCAGTTACCTAAGACACACCATGGCCAGCGCACCACATACCAGCGGCCGACCACGCTCAGTGCAGCAGGCAACCCAATCTTTTACCGAGGATGAAATTCATCAGGAATTGTTCCAGGAGGGTGATGAACCTGATGTTGACAACTCCAACAGAGATCAGGCCTACACACAGCCAGAAGATGTGGAAACGACCGACAGCGAGAGTGAACATGTGGGTAGCCACAAAGAGGAGGCCTACCCTCTCACCCCATGCCTCCTCGCCCACACTCTGTTCCACTTTGCGCCCAACCACATAGTTCATGTGTTACTGTGCAACATTATGTTGTTTTGGGCAACGTGTTTGAAGAATGTGAATCATTTTCTGGTTTTAGCAATTTAGAATTAGAGAAGAGTTTTACTACTGCTGCTGCTAGTGCCAGTGGTGTTGCCAAGCAAGTTTTTGTCACGTCAGCAGCGTCTCTTCCAGCCAACCGCAGCCACATGGCACCACATGGAGACAATGATGAACAAAGCCCCCTCATCTTCAAGTAATTTTCCTTCATCGTCCCTTCCTGCCCCTACTGTTGCTAGATGGGCTTCAGCTCCTGGTCCACGGATTCTGCGCCGTGGTGCCGCTGTTGCCTCTCAGAAGACAGCAGGTGTACTTGTGTTGAGTGATGCGGAAGATTTTGTTCCAGAAACTCCCACCTTTGACAATACAGATGTTGGGATTACAGGCCTTTTCCTCTGATAATGGTGATGAAATATGTGAAATGGACTTCTTTATCATATTTACCACAGAGGTCCTGGAAGTGGCTGGTATTCCCAGCATCTGCACCCTCCTACAGAAAACTACAGACCAAATGGACAGGCCACACTGTCATAATGCCCGACAGCCGATTGCCTAAACAGCTGCTGTATGAAAAATTATGCCAGGGCACACAAGTTCTGTTGGGGGCAGAAGAAACAATTCAAGGATTGCCTCAAAGACCTGGACATTACCAATACTTGGGAGTCGCTTGCTCAGGACTGTCCAACTTGGAAAAGCAAAGTCACTACAGAGGCCCGTGCGGCAGAAAATAAGACGGACTGCAGAGGCCCAGAGGAAATGTGCCACGCTCAAAACTAGAGTAACCTCCACCTCTGCAGTAGCACCCATCCACAAACGTCCCATGCGTGGGCGAGCCTTCCACCTAGACTGGTCTCATTCTACATCATCTGGCACATAGCCTTCAACCTGACATATTGTAGTCATTGTTATCTTTACATCTGAAGGACAAACCTCAATCATCATAAAAACTAAGTAGACTTGTTTTCGAACAGGATCTTCCTGTTCGAAAGAAATTCTGAATATTTGTATCGAGTATATCAAATAAACAAATAAAGTACATATAGTATTAAATAAAACCAAAATATTAAAAAAAAGTAAGTACTGTACTGTAAGGAAAATCATAGGGCCTAACACATGCTAAACTGCATATGAGAAACTAAACAAAAACTAGAAGCATTTAAGGAACTTATATACAGCACTAAAATAAATGTAATGATAGCAGTTTTTTAATTACCTTTTCACGCTCCTCTTGTAACCGTCCTTTCCAATCTTGTTCCCTTGTATTCAGCCGTTCAAGTGCAGCATCTTGCTGTGTTTCAAGTGCTGTTCGTAATTTTGCGATCTCACGCTCCAATTCATGCACCTAAAAATGTAAAATGAGTTTTATAACTAAGAATGCAATTACATGAAATACAGTATTTTGGTAAAACTATAATAATCTGTAAATTTATTGAAATACTGTACAGTAATTACAATAAAATAAAATGGAAGAACCAATTGCATTTGCAGATTAAATTTAAAGGTTTTATATATTCCTGGACTATCAAAGTGTGACTTGACTTGGTTGTGGTGCAGTTGGTAGGATAGGGAAATACAACACCCATATATATACCCGCAATTCAAATCCCACCATCATGACATGAATTGCAGAAGGTCTACCATATTGCTATCATATACTGCGGAGTTCTATAGGCCCGCCAGGGACTAGCACTAGATCCTGCCACCCCCCACCCCCCCACCCAGAGGTGCAGGGAGTGGTGATATTTATTTATACCATTACTGGGGAAGCAATCAGAGAGCGAGTCAAAACAAACCACTGTTGGCTTTAATAGAGAATGCAGCCTCTAAACCTGTCACCAATGGCAAGTTTAAAGGTTTAAATAAATAACCTGCCAAAAGAACTCCAACTATCAAATTCTCACAGAACTAGCACAACCTCCTTTGCCCTACCTTCCCCACTCGTTTGGCAGAAAAGGAGGTAGCCTAGGGTCAGCAGGAACCTCCACCCAGAGTTCTAGGCTGGTGTAACCAAACCTGATGACCTGGAAGGAAAGGAATCCCTCCTTTCCTTCCTGGAACCTGGGGAGTGGGGGAGGGGAACCCCCTTCTAGTTCCTCTTATGTGGGACTGTCAAAAAACTTTTTTTTAGGTCTAGATAAAAACAGTCAACACAACTATCTCTATCCTGTAAAATCTCTGTAGCTCTATCACAGAAACTTAATAGATTTGTTACACAAGATCTTTGTTTCAAAATCATATTGTCCATTTGGTAATACAGTACTGTATATAAGTTTCCTCTAGGTGTTCTGCCAACTTGGTTTCGATTATTTTTTTTCTCAGTGCTTTGACTACTACGCTTGTCATAGATACAGGTTTATAATCAAGAGAGTCTTCCATGCTATCATTTTTGCTGATTGGAACAATGTTTGCCTTTTTCCATATCTCTCTCAAGGCTCCTATACACAAAGATGACTGAAAAATCAATTGAAGTAGGGTGCTCACAGCTCAAATGTGCACTCAGAACTCAAAGTGAAACGCCATCTGGGCCCACTATCTTGTTTCAACCTATGTACCTCCTTGGTTTTTCCCACTTCATCTTGAGAAACCTTTATGTACTGTAAGTTATTCTCCGAGATTCATATTGTCTGGTTCCTTGAAGACTTCATTTTGCACAAACACACTAAAACTGTTCGTTTAGTTTGAAACATATTTCCTTTTCATTCTCCATGAATGTGTTCCCATTTAACATCTGGATTTTATCCTTTTCATGCAATTTGCTTTTAATGAATTTATAATAAAGGCCTGGTTCAATTTTACACTTATCTGCAATCTCATTCTCAAAGTTTCTTTCTGGCTCTCTTCTCACTGTAATGTACTCGTTCCCTGCTTGTTTGTATTGCTGGTACATTTGTTAGGCCTCTTTTTTACTGTATATCCATATCAGCCTGGATAGCTCCGGGGAGCTATCCAGGGAGCTATTAATTCCATACTTTGTCTTTTGTTCTCTAGCCCCCTCACAACTTATATTGAACCAATCCTGTTTTCTAGTTCTGCACCTGTCTTGGTATAAATTTTGTTGTACTGTCATCATATATCTCACAAAGTTTGGCATACATCTAATTTATCTCTTTGCCTAACAACAAATCTTTCAAATCAAATTCATTAAAGAACATTCTAAGTTTCCAATATTGTCCTCTCCTCCAATTGTTTTTAAATTGTTTCATTCCCCATTCTGTTCTAATCTTGATAAATAATTCGCAACATGGTTTTACAATAGCCGTTCATGTTTAACAAATTTGCTATCTTTTTATTCCGGTATAGCTGAGGCAGTTGATAGTGGTAAGGATTGTGAAGTTGTGTACCTTAACTTTAACAAAGCTTTTGATACAGTGCCATATGAAAGACTCATTAAAAAGATAAGAGGCTCATGGTATTGGGGTACTATATTAAGTTGGATTAGGGCATGGTTATACCAAAGGAAACAGAGAGTTAGTATAAATGGGGTTAAGTCAGACTGGGAAAATGTTGTAAGTGGAATGCCTGTAGACGATACAAAAATCGGTAGGGAAATTAACATGGAAGAAGACTCACCATCATTTCAAGTTGATCTAAATAGGGTTTTGAAATGGTCAAAAGATTGGCAGATGCAGTTTAATGCTGATAAATTTAAAGCTTTGAGGTTAGGTAATGATGATAGAGTTACAAGATACGAGCTAGATGGTGTGGAGATCGCGAAGTCGGATTGCGAAAGGGAACTGGGAGTTATGGTAAGAAAAAATTGAAAACCAAAGGATCAATACATGAATGCTCATAATAAGGCAATTTAGGACACTGGGATTTATTAATCAAGGCATTAGCAACAAGACACCTGGTTGGGTTCTTCAGCTATATTTTGCTCTGGTTAGGCCCCATTTAGATTATGCAGTTCAGTTTTGGTCACCGTACTATAGAATGGATATAAATTCACTTGAATGTGTCCAGCGCAGGATGACAAAGTTAATTCTCCAAATTAGAAATCTTTCATATGAAGAAAGATTAACAAAGCTTAAATTGCATTCACTGGAAAGGCAAAGAGTTAGGGGTGACATGATAGAGGTTTACAAGTGGATGAATGGACATAACAAAGGGGATATCAATAGGGTATTAAAAATATCTACACAAGACAGAACACGAAACAATGGGTATAAACTGGATAAGTTTAGATTTAGGAAAGACTTGGGTAAATACTGGTTTGGTAACAGGGTTGTTGATTTGTGGAACCAATTACCGCGTAACGTGGTGGAGGTGGGGTCCCTCGATTGTTACAAGCGTGGGTTGGACATGTATAAGAGAGAGATTGGGTGGTTATAAATAGGAGCTGCCTTGTATGGGCCAATAGGCCTTCTGCAGTTACCTTGTTCTTATGTTCTTATTCCAGTGTGACTTAAGAGGGAATTTCTCACATTTTTGCTGTGTAATTGAGATTGTGCATCTAAAGTGATTATGTCCTCTGTGTACAAGTTCTCTACTAATTCCTGGTTGTGATAAGTGGTCCTATCTTCATCTAGGATAGCAGACAACCCTTTTTCTTGGGGCAACTGGTTTTAGTTCTCTATTGTCATATACAGATACTTGATTGGATGGAGGCTATCCTAGTTTTCCAGATCATTATGAGTGGTCGTTTTCCTTCGCTTCCAATAACAGTGCTCTATTTGCTTTTAATTAGCCCTACAATGTTAGGGTATGAATGCTCAATGCCCATATTCATATGCTTGCACTGGCAAGCACAAAAAAGGAATATCAAAACAAAACTCAAAATACATTCTCTGATTATGAATAAATTTAATAATTGACATCTTTTCCATCTTCTGCAGCATTTAAGGCAACATAACTAGAATAACAACAACCATGTACCTACTCGATCATGATTATTTGTGGATCCTTCAGGGTTTATTGGAGACTGAGGAGGAGATATGGGCAGCCCAACTGCCTGGAGTGATGCAGTGGATGCCTGACGTGAATGTTGGGACCTTGGACTTAAGCTCCCTGGAGTGTGTTGTGAGGAACGCTGCCGGGAACTGCTCACTGATGCAAGAGATTGTGGAGAAGTTAATTTCTTCAGATCTGTTGCATCTCCAATCTTACTTTTCAAATTCATAAACATGATGCCAGCTTTTATCTGAAAAAAATATGTTCACAATTTTAGTTTCACCTAACATTAAAAATATTCGAGCCTTCTAATTTAGATTATTTAGTTTACCATATAGTTTTATATACTGTAGTTGGGGAAAGGAAGCTTGTAATTGGGCTTCTCGACGTTTCCCTAGGTCAAAGGTGACGAACCTATGGTAAGCGTGCCCAGATTAGCACACGAGCAAGTTTTGCTAGCTTATGGCAAAAAGTGCCGCCCCTCAATTCTATAAGCCTCACCCATAATAAATAAATGAATAATTGTCTAATCAACAGGTTGAGCTTACAAAAATAATTGCTGTGACAACTGTGGTGCACCCTGCATGATTGGTAAAGAAGCAGGTTTTGTAAATGTGTTTGCAAAATATGTTGAACATCCACTGGTACACTTTCACTGTACTGCACACAAGGAGGTCTTGTGTGCAAAAGCTGGCTTAAAGAAACCTGAAGCGATGAAAATTTAACAAAAAATAAAAACAGTGGCGAGTGTAATGAAATGCCATTTTCTGGGCGAGCCCCGGAGGCTCCCTGGAGCTATCGGACTGATATGCGATACTGTATATTAGTCTAGGGCATTAGTCAATGGCGTTCAGCCTACCGGGGACCACAAGCCAGAACCTGGCCCCCTTCAGAGGTGCACAGGGAGCAATGGCCTCTGGAAAACCCCCGTGTGGTTGGGGAAATTCCTTCTGCCATCGACTGGGGTTAGGCACCCAGAAAAGTAGGTTTAACAAAACAAACCCCACTTGGCTTAAGGCATTGAGCTTTGCCTCAAGACAAAGCTTGGGCTGATCTCTAATTTGCTTCTTGGGTGAAAAGGGAGAAATTAAAATTGTTAGGGGTGTATTCTCCCACAATGCAGGAAAGTGACGTTGTTGTCTCTGTAGGTACAAATTATAAATCTGATACATTCCGAGTTCAGTTCCAGTTTTTGGTACCCATTTGAAACAATGTTGACCTTCAATAAAGAAATTCTGGAGGGCTTCTCTGCAAGTGGTAGGAAGGCAGCCTAAGCATTTTTATACAAATGACAGTTAATTTCAGTAACACAGTCAACGACACTCGGAACATTAAGTTCCTTTCTCATGGTAAGTATCTTTGTGGTACGAGGGCACCCAAGGATTATCCTCAAGGCTTCGTTCTGCAATTTTTCAAGTCCTCTAAGCTTTCTTTCAGGCATCAAAACAAGACGCATAAGTGCAGCATAATCCACTAAAAACCTGATGTGTGCAAGGTATATCATTTTGACAATTCTGACACAGGCACCATAGCCCGAGTGATAACCTGCAATAGTCTTGAGAATTACAGATATATTGTGGTAATGTGTTAATACTCTTAACTGTAATCAGTTAGAGCTTTAATTACACAAAGAAAACCACAGAATCATTAGCTTCCAGCAATGTATAAAATATTCAATGCAACCCTGGCAATATTCTCAACATATTCTTTAGGTCTCAGGAGAGATTAACATTACAATTTCCTTGCCTGAAACACTATGCGTATTAGTGGCTTTAGGTATTGTATGTACTAGCTCTATCTATAAATTTGATTTAGACAGACATCACTCGGTACCCCTACTCAAATCTCTGAATATGTTAGACATTAAGTCACTGCACATTCTCTCATGTGTATTATACATATATAAAACGCTAGACTATAATGCCAATCCTGATCTCAAAAGCTTCATAGAAGGTTGTAACAGAACCCATGAGCACCACACCAGAAATAAATACAGTTTTGATATTCCTAGAGTACGACTAAATCAAACCAGAAATGCTCTACAAATCAAGGGACCCAGAATGTGGAATGACCTTCCCAACCATGTTAAAGACTGTACCTCTCTCAACCAGTTTAAGTTAAAAACGAAGCTATACCTAATAAATTCCATGTAACCCATCTTACCCCCCTGTTGTCAACCCATGTATATTTTTTGTTTTTTTGTTTTTCAAATCAACGCTGTTTGAATGTAATTTTCTGTAATAATTTGTAATTGTATTTGTGCTGCTTTTTCAACAATGTTCCCCCCTCTTTTACCTCTATTTTTTATATGTACTCATCACATCTTTTCTTTTTACCCATTAGTTTTAAGCTGTAGTCATTAATGTTTTTCCTGCCCGAAACGCTTTGCGTAATAGTGGCTTTAGGCATTGTATGTACTAGCTCTATCTATAAAGCCAACAAACTTTGTAAATCTCTTTATGTATGTACCTTACCTTACCTTACCTTTGTAAATCTCTTTATGTATGTACCTTACCTTACCTTACCTTTGTAAATCTCTTTATGTATGTACCTTACCTAAATAAAGATTATTATTATATAAATCCAACATCATGTTTGTAACTCTGCATCCATGTATGTACTTTAGGCTTTTTAAATGTAGCTGACACATGAGAATGGGTGGAGTGAGTTTATGTTTAGCATGTTTAGGGACTTAAATGAAATGTTGAATGAATGAATGAAATGTTGATAAGGGATTACTCCACCACTGTGGCGCCTTCACTACCACATATGGTACTCAGGTCTTTCATTTATACGGCATTTCTGAACACACCACAAACACGACAATCTTACGAGATGTAAACTGGCCCCAGGTTTACCTGTGCGAGTATATGGGGAGTGTTGGGGTATCAGCTGCTGGTCGCCATACCCAACCATCGACGTCAACAACACACTTGTGTTCGAAACCCTTAACGAGCTTTCTGTCACAAACAATATTATTTACTACATTTTCATTAACCATCTTATTTTGTATTATTCTATCCGTAATTTCGGTAATAATTAAATAATTGTAATGAAAGTATAACGTTTTGTTCTATATCTTTTTAATGATTTACATGAAAACAAAGTCACACTGCAGACGTTCAACGACAGTCAGTAAATGCAAAAAAAAAAAAAAAAAGTTTTTTGACGTGTACGCAATAAGGGATAACAATAATGCATCACGTTAGTGTGATCTGTGTGTAAGGGATAACAATACGTTTACAAAAATCATTAATTACCCGAACACATACACACCAGCACACATACACGAAGGCCAAGACCGTCAGTAGTTTCAAAGCGTTATATGACAAAGAGTGCTGGGAAGACGGGACACCACGAGCGTAGCTCTCATCCTGTAACTACACTTAGGTAATTACACTTAGGTAATAACACACACCTGAGGAGACAAAACAGACAACAACAACCTTTGTAACAGAGATAAAACTTGAAGAAAATAATTTAAATGAGGTCATATTCCCAAGGGAATAAAATAGTTCAGGTTAATTCATTTATTATGCCCCCCATACCTATCTTGTGGGTGGTAGTGGAAAGGGAAGGGTACTTCCCACCTTTAGAACCGAGAGGATTAATTCATTAGCTCCCCCACCTCTCATTAATCTAATGGCAGAGGCTACATTTATCTCTGAAATTCTATCCCAAATACTCTGCAGATTCAACTCCATCCTCATTATACAAATACAAATATTTATTCAGGTAAAGTACATACATACAAGGTGAGATACAAAAGTTGATGGATTTATAGATAGAGCTAGTACATACAATGCATTATCTCAATCATAGCATTTCTTGGGGATCCTAAGATAATTCTCATGGCTTCATTTTGTACCTTCTCCAACTTGCCCATCCTACCTTTACCAAAACAAGAAATGACAGGTGCAGCATAATCAATAAGAGATCTTACAGTACTCAAGTATATCATTCGTAGCACAGGGACTCCCACTCCCTTTCTACAGCATGCCAAGGCCTTCAGAGGTTGTAATCTCTTCCGACATTGACCCAACAGTCTGTTCATCTCAGCTTCCAAACTCTCATGGGTATATCCAACATAAAAAATATATATGCCTAAATATTTATATATATTAACTCTAGATTTTTATCGTTTATTTTCAATATAATGGGCCTCCTACTTCTACATTCAAACTTAGTTTTGTCTTCATTAACCACCAGTCCCATATGGTGACATAGGTTTCCGAAATTATCCAACAACGTTTGAATCTTTGAAATATCTTTGTCCTGGAACAAAATATCATCGGCATATATGATCGGAGTTACCCCATTTGAGTATCTCTCAGATGCTATCTTATTCATTAGTACATTAAACAGGGTGGGACTCAACACTCCTCCCTGAGGTGTGTCGAGTTCAAAAGATCTCACACCTGACATACAACCTTGATACCACACCTGAGCCTTTCTTTCATAAAAATATGACCACTGCTTTACACAGGAAAGCGGAGGATTTTCTGATGGCGGAAAAAAGACATTTGCACAGCGCGATCCGCAGGCGCTGTGCGAGCAAAGGGAGCCTATATAAAGGGGGGGAGGAGAGGTCACGTGCTCTGTCCTCCTCCCGCTGCGCACCGCTTCCCAAGTCAAATCGCACCGCACTGCTCTTCGCGCAACGACACGTGGACCAATCGTTTTTACCGCGGTTAAAGTTTGTTTTTGCTGTGTTCTCAAGACATCCTAACGCTATGGAAAGTCCGCCTGTGGTCCGCTATGGAAAACAGCCTGCTACCGCGGTCCCCGACATCACCCTGTCCGATATTGCTATTGCGGGCACTTCGACCTCCCAGACCGACTTGCGAGGGACGGCCTTCCCTACTCAGTTTGCTCTAAGGTACAGTGGTGTCTATGTTCTAAATGCTAGCCAAGACCCTCCTCAGTGACGGCGTGTGCACAGCGTTGTTCCCCTTGCGGTACGTGTCGCCGCCCTAGCTAGTTCCCTAGATTTCCTTGCCCTTGTTGGGCGTGCGCCAAATGGTGCAGGAGGGACCTTGTCTCTGCCACGTGGACACGTGCCCGTTGGCTGGCGTCGCCATGGTAGGTGGCGGCGCAGCGTGGTGTGCCTGCCCTAGGGGCCCTGGTTCGCCACGCGCCCAGGAGGGCCGCCCGGGACAAAGGGGGCCACGTGGCGTGCACGTGGGGGCTCTTTTCCGCTCATGGGAGGCGTCGCTCACGTGGCTTGTCACTCCGGGGGGTTTCTAGCCCCTAGGGAATGCCCCTAGGGCGTGCACGGTGTAGCTCGGAACAATCTGCGGTCTCTAGGTCCTGGTTTATCCAGACGTTTTCTCTACACGGTGTAACCCGGAGGAAACTGCGACCTCCCAGGCCGCTGGTTTATCCAGACGTATATTGTTGTCTGCCCGGTGTAGCCCGGAAGAAACTGTGGCTGCACAGGCCACTGGTTATCCAGACGTGTTGTCTGCCACAAAACTGTGGCTTCGTAAGCCGCTGGTTTCTCCGGACATTTATCCAGAAATTTTAGGCATCCCAGGCCGTTGGTTTTCCAGACGGTAATTGTCTGCACTTGTAGCCTAGAAGGTCCTGCGGCCTCCTAGGCCGCTGGTTAATCCAGAAAATTTAGGCTGCCCGGTGTAACCCGGAAGATACTGCGGCCTCCCCGGACGTTGTTTTTCTGACGGTTTTATCAGCCCGGTGTAGCCGTGTAGCCCCTAAGGTACTGCGGCCTCCTGGGCCGCTGGTTTATCAAGAATTTTGTCTGCCCGGTGTAGCACGGAAGGTAATGCGGCCTCCCCGGCCGCTGGTTTATCCAGAAGTTTGTATGCCTGGTGCAGCTCGGAACACACTACAGTCCCCAGGCCGCTGGTTTATCCAGAAGTTTGTATGCCTGGTGCAGCTCGGAACACACTACAGTCCCCAGGCCGCTGGTTTATCCAGAAGTTTGTATGCCTGGTGCAGCTCGGAACACACTACAGTCCCCAGGCCGCTGGTTTATCCAGAAGTTTGTATGCCTGGTGCAGCTCGGAACACACTACAGTCCCCAGGCCGCTGGTTTATCCAGAAGTTTGTATGCCTGGTGCAGCTCGGAACACACTACAGTCCCCAGGCCGCTGGTTTATCCAGAAGTTTGTATGCCTGGTGCAGCTCGGAACACACTACAGTCCCCAGGCCGCTGGTTTATCCAGAAGTTTGTATGCCTGGTGCAGCTCGGAACACACTACAGTCCCCAGGCCGCTGGTTTATCCAGAAGTTTGTATGCCTGGTGCAGCTCGGAACACACTACAGTCCCCAGGCCGCTGGTTTATCCAGACGTTTGTATGCCTGGTGCAGCTCGGAACACACTACAGTCCCCAGGCCGCTGGTTTATCCAGAAGTTTGTATGCCTGGTGCAGCTCGGAACACACTACAGTCCCCAGGCCGCTGGTTTATCCAGAAGTTTGTATGCCTGGTGCAGCTCGGAACACACTACAGTCCCCAGGCCGCTGGTTTATCCAGAAGTTTGTATGCCTGGTGCAGCTCGGAACACACTACAGTCCCCAGGCCGCTGGTTTATCCAGACGTTTGTATGCCCGGTGTACCCCGGAAGACTGTGGCATCCCGGCATGGGTACAAGTGCGGAGGTTTCTGCTATTATGGTTCATGCTCGACGTCACAGATGCTGTGGCACAGCTGGTGCTGTTAACTGCATCTGATATGCCAGCTGGCAGCTCTGCACTATCAACATACTCTTCAGTTTATTGTAATTTATAGTTTTAGATTCAGATTCAGATGTTTATTCAGGTAAGGTATATACATACAAGTGATGTTACATTAATGGATTGATATATAGATAGAGCTAGTACATACAATGCCTAAAGCCACTATTACGCAATGCGTTTCGGGCAAGAAAAACATTAATATCTAGAACTTAATACTAATTGAGCATAAAGAATAAAAGATGTTGAGAACAAATACAAATAAAGATAAAAAAAAAGGGGGAACATGACTGAAAAAGCAGCACAAATACAATAGGTTGACAAACAGTGTTGATTAAAAAAAAAGAAAAAAAAAGAAAATAACAGACATGGGTTGACAATAGAGGAGTGAGGTAGATTACAGGGAATTTATTAGGTAGTGTTTAGTTTTTATCTTAAACTGGTTGAGAGAGGTACAGTCTTTAACATGGTTGGGAAGGTCATTCCACATTCTGGGCCCCTTGATTTGCAGAGCATTTCTAGTTTGATTAAGACGTACTCTAGGAATATCAAAACTGTATTTATTTCTGGTGTGGTGCTCATGGGTTCTGTTACAACCTTCTATGAAGCTTTTAAGATCAGGATTGGCATTATAGTTTAGCGTTTTATATATGTATAATACACATGAGAGAATGTGCAGTGACTTAATATCTAACATATTAAGAGATTTGAGTAGGGGTACCGAGTGATGTCTGGGGCCAGAGTTGGATATTGTTCTAATAGCGGCTTTGTGTTGGGTAATTAGAGGACGTAAGTGATTTTGGGTAGTAGAACCCCAAGCACAAATACCATAGTTGAGATAAGGATAGATAAGGGAGTAATAGAGAGTCACCAGAGCAGGGCGTGGTACATAATATCTGATCTTAGAAAGAATGCCCACAGTTTTTGAAACTTTTTTTGATATATTTAGAATGTGTCCCTGGAAATTCAGCTTGTGGTCAATGAGAATGCCAAGGAATTTGCCATCTAATTTGTTACAAATTTGGGTATTGTTTATTTTGAGATTTATAAGACTAGAGGATTTATTGCCAAACAGAATATAGAAGGTTTTGTCAATGTTAAGGGTGAGTTTGTTGGCAGTTAGCCAAAGATGGACTTTATTTAGCTCAGTATTTACTGTGGCATTTAGAGCAAGAGAGTCAGGACTGGAGTAAATGAAGGTTGTGTCGTCAGCAAATAGAATTGGTTTGAGGTGTTGGGAGGCATTTGGAAGGTCATTAATGTAGATGAGAAAGAG